AGCCTTTGGGGAATGCCTAAAATGACTGAGGAAGCTGTACCTCTCCTGGGCTGAGCCCCGTGCTTCCAATGTCATCTGCTGCAGGTACCAGACTGCAGCCACAAACTCCTACTCTTCTTTCTCCAAAGATGGCTGAACCAAGCCGTATTTTCTCTTTATACAGCCTGTGAAGTCTTTAGGCATTTTACCGAACATCCTTCACTCATCGTGATACAGGATGAGTGACAGGCCACCTTTGGCCTTTTCCCATCATCCCACTCACACCTGAGGCTGATGCTGATGCACCAAACCATGAGCTGGTGCAGCTGGAGAGGCAGCAGTTTGTTTCAATCCTTGCAGTTGCAGAGTCTTCCTGTCCACTCTGGTAGCCACAACACTGAATTTGGTGCAGGGCTGATCCCCCTTTGCTGCTACCGGAACACGAGCCCCTCACCACCATCCTCTCCCAGCTCCAATAAGCCCTGTCAGCCCTTGTCCCATTCCCCCATTATCTTGCCATTGCCCAGAAAAGGTTTTTAAGTTATCGCGTTCATCAACAGTACCAGGGACATACAGCTAATGTGACTTAAAAGGTTTTTCTGCCAGGCGAAATATGCAGCAATAGGTGAGCAAATATTCTATGGATAGTGACTTCTATCTTGGAATGCAGTTAATTGTCTTTCCCCTTTTTACTACTGTTTGTCGTGAGCGCTGGTGCATCCTGCTGCACCAAAATCTCCTCCTGCCTCAAGGACTTGCACTCATATAAGGAAGTTTGGAGCAATTCTGCAGAGCCCAGCTGCTGGAGTCAAGTAATTGAAAACTAGGTGTGGGATGCAATGTCCCCCACACTGTCCCTGGGATGAATTCCCTCCCTCTGCTTTGTTATGCTGTTGGCAAAGAGCTGAGGGAAGTGCTCCAATCCTGTCCCAGGTTTGCACAGGGCTCTCCCTAGAATCCAGAGTGAGTGTGGAGCCCATTCGAGAAGTCCTGCCTGCACTGGCTCTGACAACTTCTGCTGTTGCACTGACAGAGCTGTACAATCATCCTTTCAAGTTGACACATTTTTCCCCTTGCAAATTATCAGTTTCTGGCAAATGAAGGACCCGGTGGGCTGGTTTGTGTGTAAACACAAGGTCCTGGACCCATCTGGGAATTAGCGGGCTGGTCCTGCCTAAGTGCATGTGTAGCCTGGCAGCCTCAGAAGCTCATCCTGCCATGTCCCTACAGCTGCCTGCACAGCCACATATGACAGTATAGAGCCAGAATCTTCAAATTTGGCATTAGATCAAAAGTCCTGCATGAACAAAGCATTATTACCCAGGATAATCCATATATCCCAAGTTTTTTGACCACCACAGGGATGAGAGGCAGGACCTCAGCTGAACATGCCATTAACAAGCAGCAGCAGGAAACAGAAATCTATGAAGGGAATAAAATGTGAAATTTCAGTGATGGGGACAGGAGACAGTTGCTGTGCGAGAGAGGGCTTCACGAGAAGAACAGCAGGAACAACTCTGGCCATGTCCCACAGATGTTATTTCTGCACCAGATGACATGGGATTTAAAAATGAGGTTATGGTCAAGGATGAGTTTCCAAGAACTTCTTAAAAGAAAAAAATTATAAAGCTAGTGAAGAGATGAGTGACAGCAAAGTCAGAGATGGCTTCAAAACTAGGTTTTCAGGTTAAAATCTTTAAATAGCCAAAAAATACATTGAAACAGAAGATCAGAGGTGAGAATCCAGAAATATGTACAACTGTGCATTATTTGGAGAGATCGGGGCTGCCCTGGGCTGGAGACAGCTGGTCCCACCGCAGGACACGGCTGAGTCTCTCATGGGCCCAGCAGTACCTCTCGTAGAACATACAGAAAAAGTGTAAAAAACATGGTGCAGGTAGTGAGGAGTGAGAGGAAAAGTAAGAGAAACAGCTCTGCAGACACCAAGGTCATCAAGCAAGGAGAGGAGGGGGTGGTCCAGGCACCGGAGCACAGATTCCCCTGCAACCCATGGAAAATACTTTAGAGAAGCAGGTTTGCCATGAAGGACTGCTGCCCATGGCTCCACAGTGGGGCAGGGAGGTGTGTGTGGAGGAAGATGCAGCAGAGAGGGGCTGTTATATACTGATCATCTCCCCAGTGCTGCCTTGGATGGTGGGGAGAGGTGGAGGAACCAGGAATGAAGAACTGGGAAAAGGGGAAAGAAAGGAAGGTGCTGTTTTAATTTTTTTATTTGCTTCCCACTATCTAAATCTATTTAAATTGGCAAGAAATTGAATTCATTTTCCCCACATGGAGTATGTTTTGCCCATGACACTAATTGAGTAAGTGATCTCTCTGTCTTTATTTCAATCCATGAGCTTTCCTATCTTATTCTCTCCCCCTGCCCTGTTAAAGAGGGGGAGTGAGAGAACGGCAGGGTGGGCTTCTGGCAGCCAGCCAAGGTCAACCCACCACAGCTTCCTATTAAAAATCTCTACAAGAGATGATGAAATTCAATGATGAAATTATATAAACAAAGGAGAAAGGTTATAGATGAAACTTTTGAAGTACTTTACAGTAAAAAGCATGTAAGAAGGACATGAAATCCCCCATAGAAATTAAAAGAGCAGCGGGATAGGAACTGTATTAGAAAAGGAGGCATCTGACAATCTTCCAGTCCCAGATGTAAGGAAGGTCCATCTGCAATAGGAGAAAAGTTCTGTCTGGCTTAGGACAAGAGGGCAGGAGCTGAGCATACCTGCTATTATTTTTTATTTTTGATCTCTTTTCATACAATTTTTCATGTACAGCATTATCAACTGAAACTTCTAAGCAACTCTTCAATACTTTGAAATATGAAGACTGCTAGGACAAAAGACCATCTCCTGTGAATCTTTCTCACAGAATTTAAACAGTACACAACAGCAAAACAGTTCTGCAATGATGATAGAGCCCATATGTATTTATTTCTATTTTACATCTTTTTTGTGTACCAAAGTGACGGTGACCCTCTCATCTTTTATTCTGTGTGGAGCACACCCAGTTTCGTGGGTTTTGAAACAAAGAAAGCCTGTGAGATCATTTGGTCTGACACCCTGCAAACATAATCGTCATCTCAGCTGGTGATGAGCCCAAGGGAGGGTGCATCCCAGCTGGGCTGGTGTGGGTGGCATGGGGAGAGTGATGCTGGGGAGGCTCAAAAGTCCCCATCCAGTAAGGTGCTGCAGAGGTCAGGGGTGCTGCCAGATTTGCAAGCACACGAAAAACAATTTGTGTTACTGGTGAGCCAGCAATAGCAGATTCTGCTGTGTTTCCATAGATGGTCCATTAATCTGGGAAATTGCCATAAATGAGCACTCAGAATAGCACAGAATTTGTACAGCTGGTGCTACCCCAGCACTGCCAGCAGCAGTCTTGTGCCACCACTCTTCATTCATCTCTCACAAATATTCATTACCCCCACTTCCAGTTCAGCTAATTTCAAAGGATTACCTTTGGCATCTTTTGGTAAAGGCTGCTCTGTGGGCACTATTTTTAACAGCTCCAGCTTACAAGAATGATGCTAACGTATCTTTAGCTGTCTGGCATTCAAACTGAGCTGGCATCCTTGATGAATAGTTGGAAACCTCCCCACTGCAGTGACTTTAAACTCATAGTTTAAACTTCATACTATAACCTCTGAAATAAGGTTAAGATTTTGTAGAATAAATATTGCTACACAAATGAAGAACTGTTTTGTTTTCTTAACATCCTAAACAGTCCAGCCTCCTAGGAGGAAACATCTCTACAAACTTGGACTTGATGAGAAGTTCTTAATCTAAAAATGTCTGTTGCTGTCCCTGAACAGTTCAGCTGGTCACCTGTGGGTAGCCAATGTTAGGGGCAGAGTCAGCCTCTTCTTTCTTTTAGGTACAGGCAACCCCCCACTATCTCTCCCTACCCACCAGTGCTCTCTGCCAACCCCCAGCCCACCTCCCCAGCACCCACCACACATCCAGTAGGGAGGGCTGGAGCTTTCATGTAAGATTTAGACAGAACCCTGACACCCTCAAAATGACAAGTCAGCATCCCAGTTCCACTTGCAGAGTTCAGCATTCCCATCACAGATGTGGTGGCAATAAGGAGCAGCCTGCACAGCACCAACACATGCTGACAGGAAGCTTGCATAGATCAGCAGTAATTAGAAGCAAATCACAATCAAAGTCTAAGCAAATCAGAAGCAAAAGAGACTCAAAAGATGATAAATACTTCAAAATCAGAGTAATCAAAACCATTATGAGTCCAACTATATGGAGAGGAACTACCAGGCATGCGGTTTTATTACTCCTTATCAACTTGCCTCTCTAATCAGCACTTTACATTTGTTGCACAGGGAGTTATGGAAAAAAATTACAGATCCTTGGGGTGTTACTGCCCTGATTAAAGAACTTCATATATTTCCTTTGGAGAAAAAGGCTTAGGGAGAGGTGCCTTTAATAGGAACCTTTTGAGACAGATTGCCTTTAAGCCCAAGACTTTACCAGTGAAGCTCTAGACACTGGAAATTTTAATATAAATCAAAAGCCAAGTGATGTGGGAGTTTTAAGGTCATAATTATGTACTAGCATAATATTAATATAATAGGACATAAATATAAACAAAACACAAGATCCTGTCTGTGCTGGATGCCAATTTTGATACTGCTGTAAGGTAAGAATATATATGAAAGGCAGTTTATATTAAAAAGGTTAAGGGAGAAAACATCCTCAGGAGGCAAAAGAAACTATAAGAGATCTACTATGGTTTGTAAAATACATTTTCTTCTCTGTGCATTAAATAATACTTTCTCCTTTACTCATGAGTCAGAGTACTTCCAACATCACCCCTGAATCCACTTTGGAAGGACTTCCTACTTGCCAAATCCCAATCCAAGTTGCACTTTGCAAAACCACATTTATGCTGCTTCATAGCCTGAGTTTGCTTGTATTTATATTTATTTAAGACTACTTTAGCAAGTCAGGAAAAAACAAGGGGCAGAAGGGGAGGGCAGATGTGCCTACCGTACCAGCGGGTCTTTTTTCTCCATGACTGAAGCTCAACGTGGGAGCTTTGCTTTGCCCTGTCCCTGACAGCAGCTCCCGGCAGATGTGCTTCCCTGGGGAGGTCGTGGCTGCCCTGGCCCCAGGCTGGATCCCGGGGGGCTGCCCGGCCACTCTGGGCCTCAGTTCCCGCTGCAGCGTGGCTGAAGTCAGGGTGCCAGCTGCCCCCGGCAGGACAATGGCTCCATTCGGAGATAGCCGGGGGACAAAGGCACTGCTTTCAGGAATGATTTTATATGCACACATGTGACCTTTGCCTGAAACGACTCTGTGGAGAGTGTCCCTGTCCTGAAGCTCTGCTTTCAAATGCAGCAGTCTGAGGTGCTTGTTTAATTTGTCGTTTTTCTTTTTTTTGATTTTTTGCCACAGATGCCTCAGGAGAGGTCATGTGCAGATAACAAGGTGGTGCCAAGCTTCTTCTGATCATTTAATAGAGCTATTCAGTAATGGATAGGATTATTTTCTTCACTTTCAAAAGTCCTTCAGCAGAATCTGCTATCTGGAGTGCTTTTTCCACTTTTAGAAATTTAACTACAAAACCAGAGTGCCCCAACTTCCAATCCCACACCCTGAGCCAGCCCAGGAGCCACTTCCAAGCTCAGGCCACCTTCACTAGAGTGCATATGATTTTAAATTTATGCACCCAGATAAGACCGGCAGGGCCTTTGGGTTTTTAATGGATTGGAGTGACTTATTTATTATAAATCAATTTATTCTGTGATTTTTAAGTATTTTGAATGCTTCTTACTTGATGGGATATAAAATAGTGGCTGTCAATACATAGCACACACGAAACAAAAATATCTCTCTAGCTGGGCCAGAGATGGAGGGTGAAGACAGAGTTTATCACCTTTTCCTTGGGATATGTCAGTGAATGCTGCAGGTGAAAGGATGGTCCCTCAGTGATTTTTTATTAGTTTACAGGGAAGGTTAATAGCAGTGTGACTCTCAGGTTAGGTAAACTTTCCTTTGTAAGACCTCGATTTTTGCTGTTTATTGCTCTGACAAACTTAAATTTGCACTGTTTTTGTGGTGAAAGGAGTTGGGGTTTTTAATCTATTTTTAACCTACAGCAAAATACACTGAACCTTTTTGGGATTAAAATAAAGGATGCATTCTTTGTTATACTAATGTTAAACAAAAATATCTGTCCTTTCCATAAATAGACCTCAGGTTTACATACTCTAGAGCAACAGACTGGATTTCGGGGACCAGGAAAGAATGGCCTTTGTCAAGTGAATACATTCATCCAACCCTATCACGTTCCACACAAATTTTGCCAAGTTATAAATCTTCAAGAGATCTTTGTGTATGCTCAGCACTGTGTGAAACCTGCTCACACTTAATGGTTGACCTCTCTGAAGATCATCTTCTCTGGGTGTGTTTGAGCCCCTTACAGACCATGGATCACACTGTAGGTTTATTTCAAAGGAAAGGAGTTTTAAGAGGTGCTCACAGTCACAATGAGATACAGGAATGGGGTCATGGCTGGCTGGCTGTCACACACCACCCCCTCAGCACAGCCCACATCTCTCATAAAAAGATGTGGTGGTGTGCATGCTGGGAAAGGGAATTTCTTGTCCCGAAATAAATCCTGCCCCATCGCCCAGACAAAATTAAACCCCACTGTGAAATCTCCCTACCCAGTCTCCATGTTCCCTCCAGCCCCTTCCCTCAACATCAGTCGTTTGAGAGCAAACATTAAAAAGGAGGATAAAATCAAAGCTTTGAGGAGCTACTGCAAAGGTAGCAAGTCCTGTATCATAAATGAAACGGGGCTGCTGTTGGATAGTACAGAGTACGTGATAACACACAGAGATCACAGAAGCAGACAGATTTCAAGTGTTTGAGAAATATTTCTGCATGTGAGGTCAAAAAATTCTAGATACAAATCCAGTTAGAGTTCTACAAGTACTAAATGCAAGCAAATTAAAATATACATATATTCTGTAATATCTAGAAGCAAAATATCTGAGTAAAGGGAGCAGAAATGTATCAAAGACAAAGAAACAAGCTAGCAAACTCACAGATCTCCACCTCATAGCAGGCTGTTCCCAACACTGTGTTCCCTAATACTTGTTTGAATTCCAAGTAAAAAGAGATGCGTCTCACTTTCCTTAGAAGCTAATGTGCAGCTTTTTATCCCCATCTCACTTTAATATAATTTTCCTTTTTTTTTAATTTTAGCTTATCACTTTAAAGTATTTGCTGCCCCATGAAAATACATCTGCTCTACAGCAGAGGGGTTTAAACTCTTTGTTATAAGTGCTCTGCCAAATAAAGACATGTTTACATTTACAAACTAAATGATTTCTCCACATTTACAGAGTTAAAATATACCTGTATTTGGAGAAAACCATGAGCTTCCCTACTCAGTCTCATTTCAGCATGGTTTGCAGGAACTAGCAGGATTTAGTATTTCCCAATATATTAATTGCAATCTGAAAATATTTTGGTTGATCTTTACATCAGTTTAACACCACATTATTCTTGGTCATACAGCTCCTGACTTCTTTTGAGTCATACTCAGTTAAAATAAATCTTGGGCAACTCTCATTCTGTATAAACAAACTCAGGCTGTTTAGCAAAACAGACGCCGCTGTCCCAGGATGTCATGGGGATCAGTGGGTATTGCTTTAGATAATGCTTCGTCAGAATTAATGCACAACAACTAGCACGGTTCAAGCAGGGGCAATAGCTGGGGGCAGGATACATTCAGAGGAGCACACAATGATGCCAGTGAAAGCCAGTGCCTGACCTGAAGGGCTTTAGGAATGGATTTCTACCCATAAACAGAGAGTTTTTAAATGTATATGTATAAAGATTTAGTTAAGACCCCTAAAAGGTGATCTGTGCAGTGCCACCACCACTCTTTCACAGGCTGTGGGCATCAGTGTATTTTCACGCAATCATAGAACAGTTTGGGTTGGAAGTGACTTTAAAACTCGTCTAGTTCCAACCCCACTACCAACTGGCAGGGAAGCTTCCACTAGACCAGGTTGCTCAGGGCCCAATCCAAACTGGCCTTGAACACTTCCAAGAATGGGGCATCTACAGCTTCTCTGGGCAACCTGTTCCAGTGCCTTACCACCCTCACAGTAAAGAATTTCTTCCTAATATCTAATCTACACCTGCCCTCTTTCAGTTTGAAGCTATTCCTCACTACATGCCCTTGTGAAAATATGAAACAGCCTCTCCCTGCAGCACATCCTCAGTGAGTTGTGATCAGAGGTGATGGATCTGCTTTCTGGACTTGGCTTCAGGCAACAACAAGACACAAGTTGCTCAGATCAGGGCAGGGCTGGACATTAAAATCGTATTTTTAAAAGCTGTGTTTATAGATGTCCCAGCCTGCTAGAAATAAAGACTTTCTGAACATAACTACTTCTAATCCCTGCACTTTCTGCACTCATTTTTAAACGATATTGATGCAAATAAATTAATCAGAAAATTATACTGGCAGTTAAATATGCCATGAGTAGTACAGCACTAAAACCAATCATGAAAAACAGTGCTTCAAAAAAACTGCACTTCAGATAGTCATGAATAAAAAAAGATTGTGACTTACGAGAAATATACAACTCCTCCTCCTGTTAATCTGTTCCATATTTGCTCATTGAGTGTGAATTACAGTTGAAAAATATCCTGGGGGATTACTTAATATGCTGCCTAATCCAGCCATCCACCCCCTGCAAAGTACAGCCTCGTGTGGTTTTATTTCATTAGGAGTTTCTCTGCTGCTCCAATGACCCGGCTTAGTTTCACCTCCTGCAAACAGGTCTGAGCATGAAGAAATAGCTTCTGTGGCCAGAACTGCGCTGAAATATGTAATTCTGTACAAGCATAATTGCACGAGCTGAGCTAATGGAAAAAGTATACTTTGTCCAGCAACCTTCTAGGCATGGCTGGAGTTACTCTTCTGTGCAATCTGAATGGATTATGTGGTCTTGTATCTCTAACTTTGCCATGGAATATTTTCTTGTTCTTAACCCTTCATTTACAGCGTTGCAGCTGCATAACAGCTTTGCTCAAAGTCCAGAGGTTTACCACTTCTGTTCAACAGCATTTTTTGTGTCATGAAATGTTGTTTTATTTCCACTAGACTTTTCCCACCAGTGGAGATGTTATGATACCTTTTATTCTCAGTTTGTGCAAAAATGTATCTTCACTTTGAAAAGTCATCAGACCCAGAGCTTCTAAAGATCATCTATCAAAAGATTAATCTTCCTCTCCTGAGCTCTGTTGACCACACTATACCAGGCTATGACCAGGTATAAAATAGCACAGCTTTACCAACCTGCACCAGCAGGATCCACCTCCCTGAGGGTATCTGCCATGGGGAGCTTGGGATGGAAGAGAAATGGCCATAAATAGTAGTTGGGGGTAAATGTGTGTGGGGAGACAAAGCGTGGATATGTGAAGAATCGTAAAGATGACAAACTAAGGCTTAGTTGTCCCTGACCAACATGAAAAGGCTCTGCATGGGCTGAAGGTTTCCCTGGCAAGAGCACGAACTAGCTGAGATAGATTAAAGCTTTATCGCTTTGGCCTTCATGCAGGGCACTCCAAGTCCTGGATAATGCCAGAAAAGCCACAGGGAGAACAGAGCATTACCAGCATCAAACAAGATCCTACTCTTGGCTTGAGGGTTGACACCACGGCTCCTTTATCTACTTTCCTTATCACCAAAGCATTGCTTTCTAGATCTCCTTCTCTTCTACTGGTTTTCTTGCCCAAAGCCAATCTCTATTCCCTATCTCAAATATCTCTTTAACACAGATACAGATCCACCTAATTTTGAAGTTCCTAGTCTTGTACAATATATACAAGTTATGTCAAATTCTACATCCTGAACAAGATGTTCAGATTTCTTAAATGAAACAGTAACTCACAAATTGTAACTAGGGAACAAGTTGATAAAATCCCTAAAGAAGGGAACACAACAAGTTTCAAGGCTGCTCTTATCTGCTACAGAAAATCCAGTGTTGAAACCTGACTATAAAGGCCTGACATGAGATATTCCACTAGGAATAAGGGTTATGAAGGTTAAATAAATATGATAATTACACACTCCCCACAAAACTTTTCACCAAGAGCAATGGTGCCTTTTTCACCAAAGAGCAACGCAACAGATGATAACACTGATCCATAGGCGAGCAGCCAACAAACACAGCTACAAATACAGCCAACATACCCCAGAGAAGGAGAAGTCAAGAAACTCCAGAAAAGGCTTACAGACGAAGGACTGATGACTTCCAAGGGGTCCTACTACAGGACACTGGTTGGACACACCCATGGATTTGCAGGTGATGCACCAAGACCAGCTTTTGAAGCATGATGAGGAATTTCGACTACCCACCAGCTGCTGTGCCAGCAAGCATCTGTTGGTCCAATAGCCATGGCATTACTTGAGTTGTTCATGCAGTG